AATGAATGGATGAATTGAAGAATATGGTTGCTCCTGATTATATAGGTGAATGCCAAGGAAGGTGGCCGTTTCCTTGGCAATAAAGTCTGATGAATTAGAACCACTTTTACAAGGAACGAGTGGAGGCCAGGAGGAGGAAGATAATTACAAGGAATTTCCACGGCCAGTGATAGAAGAAGTAAGCCGGCAGCAGGAGATTTTTACTTGAGACTGAAGAAACAAATGTTTGAAAAAAAAGGAGTGAGGTGGTGAAGTTGATCAGATAATATATATATATATATATAAACAGTAATATGAAAATCTTATAAAGGCGGCGTATTGAATTATTGATGTTACACAAGTCTTGAGGTAGCTTAAGACGTAGATTAAGTAGGTAATTTGTGTGAAATTTTATTGTTAATGGCACATTACGTTATTGAGCGAGCAGGCGGCTCAGTTGCTTGTATTTGGGGCTTGACCATGGCTGCCGCCGCCTAAAAATATTAGGGCTATATGGAACTGGTCTAATTCTTAATTCTCAAAATCGCAACGAATGAAACTTGACCAAGTCAGTTCCTAAACCTGTTGAGTTTATTAAAAAAAGGGCTTTACAAAAAAGTTTGAACAAATCCCATAGAATATAAGAATCTTCGTATAACTATAGGCGCCGCACCCGCTCGAGAACCACTACTCAATGGTGAGCCCTGCAGCTGAAGCGGGAGCCTGCTCTGGGCTCTTTCTCCCATTCTCTGTCTCTTTGTTTCCGTCTCCTTCTCCTTCTCCTCTTCCAATAGGAGTGGAAGCGGCGTATATATATATATATTGTTAATTACCTCAAAAAAAGAAGCAGCATTTCCACATATAAAATCAGTAGCTCCTTCAATATAACAGCTGTTGTAGTAGTGTCTGCCGGTATCGTCAAGTAGGGTGTCCTGATAAGACAATATTCTGCACCCATAAAATGCTGCTCTATCTCCCGACACCCTTAGCGCCACTGCTTTGCCAACCGCTCCATAAGTGTTCTGCAATGAATATTGAACAATTAAACATTATTAGATTCAATATAAAAAATTCCTTCGTGTCGTCGATGTTACCAAGAAAAAAAAAAGACTATCTGATATAATTTCATACAACAACATGAGCATGCGTTTTAAATATACCTGAATTGTGAGATACCGGCCTATAAAATCAGAAGCCAAAACAGAGAAAGTTGAAGATTCAAAT